CTCAACAGTGTATTATTTGTTCTGCTTCTTACCTCCTCCTCTGATTTAAGTTACCTTTTGTTGACCTTTTAAATTCTTTATTTCCTGGCAAATACATTTAAAATTGTAGGTCCTAAGTGAGGTGTAGCATATCATGTAGAAAAATCTAAGTTCAGTCTGGAGCATTCTCTTTTGAAGAAAAAAACTGCCCTGCAGGCGGTAATGAACTCACTTGATACTTCCTACACTCTGATGGGGGTCAAAGGGTACAGTGAAAAACCAGAACTAATGATTAGAAGGGGTGTCACCCACATGTTTCATTTGCTGTAAACTGTTTAGGGGTTGGGTTTGCATGAGGGACACATTAGACATGCTGGGGTTGTCCTGGGTTAGGAGGGCATGGTTTTGATTTAACTTTTGTTCTCATGACCTTGAAGGTAAATCTGAAGTAGTGTCATATGGATGAGGGCCTCCAAATTCAAAGTCATGGAGCTTGAGTCTAGGTCTCAATTTCATCTCTAATCGGTTGTGAGATTGTGAGCAAGGTACTCAACCTGTGTTTCTCTGTCTCTGTCTCTGTCTCTGTCTCTCTCTCTCTCTTACTTTGTCTCTCTCCCTCTCTGTGCAAAAGAGACCAATATACCTATCCTACTTTTCATTGGCTATCTGTCTCAAAACATTTTTCATGAAAGGTCTTAGAAAAGTATAACATGACTTTTGAGTTGAGCATTTATGAGTCCATTACATAACCATGTAATGTTGCACGCTCCTCATTTTAAAGCTAGTATGATGGCTTTTTAGTAGAAAATCTCATTTTCTTTCAAGGGAATATCATCAATATTATTTACTTGTAATAAAAAGGGCATTAAAAATATAAAGAAGTAACCCAATCTTTTTGTTGTCCAAATTCATTTCAATGTGAAAAATATTCAGAACAAAAATCTAGTCAAATCTATAAGCAGAAACCTATTTTAACTCAAGATGACGGTGACCTTAAGCTGCTAAACTGCTAACAGTAAGTGACTCGATGACTAGAAGATGACGTGGATGCTCACTGTGAAATACAAAGGGTATCACTCTCTGGACATCATTGCTATATGTATGTAGGCATCCTGAAATTTTGGCATGATGGTCTTTTTAAAGACAGAGTAGCTGATTAGCATTTCCCTGAATTAAACCAATAATATCAATGTGATGGGTCATTTTTTTTTTATTTCCTAGAGGATAAGGATGCTTTAGAACAGGGCCAGATAGTAAATATTTTCGGTTTTGTGGACCATATGGTTTCTGTAGTAAAAACTCAACTCTGGCCTTGAAGGGCAAAAACAGCATTAGACAATGTGTAAAAAAGGAGTCTAGCTGTATTCCAACTCTGTCTGCAAAATTAGCAGGGATAGACCTGGTTCAAAGGTCATAGTTTGCTGACTCCCTACTTTAGAATATCATAAAGATATCATCAGATTCTGGGCTTCCTCACATCCCTTGGTTGTACACACCATATTGCTGGCCTCAGTTTTTAATGCAGCTCCAATTCTACAGCTAAGTGAACACAGAATGTGCCAAACCCTGGAGAAACCGTAAAGTCAGGTGGCCATTTGGGCAGACATTCATATCCCAATATGGCTATCTAAAAAATCTATACTTTTCTCAAAGTGTTATTTGTAAAATAAAGCATTGTTTAAATGATAATATCTAAAATTTAAAAATTCTCCAGAGTAATACTACTGATGTTTTGATAAGAAAGGAGGAAGAGTGCTTTCCAGTTCCTAGAAATGCTTTGCAAAAATGTAAACCAGTGCTGACTTCTTATTTGTAAGTGATCAAATTTGCCTTTTGTTTTCTCATAATAGAAGCCAACTCATTACCAAAGTTTATTGGTGTTCTAAGTCAAAAGTCATCTGTCATTCCAACTTATCCTCTTTATCGCTCTCTCATTCTAGCATGTCTGAAAATGTAAGAAAGCACTACCAGAGGCCTACGGATGGGTGATTTTTAACCCTGGATCTCTATTTGTCTGTACTTTTAAAAACAACTTATTCTTAACCTGGGAGCTGCCACCTTTCACTGTGTGGGACAGGCTACAATGAAACTGAAGGTGAAACGAGCCTTTTATTCCTAGTACTACTTATAAAAATGTAGATTTTGAGACACTTGTTTGGGTTTTAAGTGGGGTCTCACAGACTGAGTTCAGGAATTCTTTTGTCTTTCTTGGCTAAGTTACTTAACATCTTTGAGATCTTGAACTACAGTTTCTCCATTAAAAAATGTTAATATCTACTAAAAAAGTGTTAATATCTACTTCACAGGATTGATCTATAGTGAGTAGCAAATAATAGATACTAAATAAATGATAGTTTCTCTCATTTTTTTCCATATCACCCCATGTACCCCAAATTTTATTTTACTCTATTCTGAGAGTTTGTTTTACTCTCACACATCTTCCAATGAACTTCCTCTGAGTGTAATGTAAATGTATACACACATAGAAGGCATGTAGGGGAAAGGTCTTTGAACAAGAAAGACTAATGGTAGGAAAATTGGTTGAACAGAAGAAAAGTCAGCAAATTCATTTGGTTTATCTTCTTTTGGAAAAAGGAGCCTAGTAAGTAGAACATAAGCTTCCTGAGAGCAGAAACTTTGTCAGTTTCATTCACTAGTGCCTGGAATTGCTCTTGGCACCTGGCGAGTGTGCAATTAATACTTATTTTCTCAACTAATAACTGAGCATACATAGATGATTTGCTTTTGTATTAACCAGGAGAAATTCCTGGAGCTTAGCAAAGGGCAGGAACAGGGATTCTAAGGAGAAGGAGCTTTAACATTATAGAAGAACGGCACCATTTACAGACTACTTACTTTCAAGTACATAATTTATAAAAGAATCGTGCAAATTCTCCAATATCAAAATTGATCTGAAATAGGTGAGAGGAAAGTCTAATACCTGTTCCAGGCCAGTTTCTGGCAGGTATCCTACCTTGAGGCCATCCCAACAAGGTATCTTTTAATTTCACTTTCCTTCTGGAAAGAGAAACACCACTGTTGCTCAGAACTGTTGGAGTATCAGCACGGTGCTAGATACGATGGGATAAAGCGAAGCTGTGCTTCCCTAGAAGGTCTCTAAGTCTCCTCATGGTTTTCCACATACTGCGAAAGTGTGAGAGAACAGCAACATTAACATCTAACGTAGCTCACGTACCTGAAAACATCATCATGTGCTGAAAGTTCTTGGGAATCTTCTGTTTTCGGCCCAGATTCAGGAGGAAAGAGAGGGGATATATGTTGCAGGCTCTGGCAACAAAAATTGCTAGCTGCAGATGAGCACAGGGAAACATTGAGGAAATGTTGCTGCAATGAGGGTGCGAGTCCTTGAGCTTTAAATATTATGTCTTTAAGTTTCTCTATGTTATAACCCAGAAAACAGGCATAAACATGTCAATATGTGTATGTCCAACTTGCTTCCAAAATTTATCTTTCATTGTCAATTCCTTTCCAGAAATAATAGAGAACTCTGCATTTCTTTGAATATATATTTGGTTTACAATTGTTAACCCAATACCATTTCAATCACTGTAAATTTTCTCATCACATTTTTGTTGCTGATGACTGACTTTATACTCAATTCTGCTGCAAAATGTGAGACTGTGGCATTATCTTCTCAAGCAGCACTTTAGAAAGGATAAATGTACTTCTCATGATTACCATCTAATTTTCTATCAGTATATACTCCCTGTATCAAGCAAGCTTCACTTATTTTTTTTTTTTTATCTTAGAGCATTTAATTGTGTGAGGAATTGCCTGTCTAAAACATATAATACAACGAACACTTTGAGGCATTTTTTACAGGTTAAAATCTATGAAAATATTTGTGGTGGTCTTCTCTTTCCTTTTGTTGTCTTGGACTCCTTCTCTGATGTCTGTCTATTTTAGTTTGATCTCAAATGGGATGGAGTTATTTGGGAAGAGGGAGCTTCCCCCTAAGATCCAGGCTTTAGATAAAATTTGAGCGTTCAGCTGAGTGCTCAGTGAAAAGAGAAGAGAAGGCAAATGCAGGTGCTTAGTTAGAACAAGGCTTATAAAACAGGGTCAATTCTCCTGGCTGTAAGATCATCTGCCTGTGATATAAGGGGACAGCTGTCCACTTTCCCAGTGGACAGAAGAACAACAGCTGCTGACTGTTCTGAGGGACATTTTCAGTTCCTCAGTATATTTTTGTACAGTCATCCATTCCTATTGGGAACGCCTATATCCCAGACATTTCCTAGGAAAGTCCTCTGTATTAAAGAGTGAGGTCTAAATTTTATCTGTTATTTCGTTTATAAGAAAGGGTTATCTTATTAGAATAAATTTACTTGTGCACAATGATTACGATATAGAAAATACATCCATTATGCTAATTTCATTTGATCTTTACTCTGTGTATCCTATTTTCAAAGTCCTTACTGGAAAGAAGATTTTACCATCTTGTAATGAAATATTTTTAAAGCTTAATAATCCTGTCCATCTTCTGATACATGCTGATGCAGATTAAATATATTTCTCTATAAAGAATGAATTGACATAGTTTTATGTAAATGATTCATAATTTTGGACACATTGTAAATATTCAAAAAATGTCATTCTCTTTTAGTTTTTCCCCTTTATTTCCCCCAGTATTTTCCAAACTTCTTATTCTGTACCATAAGCATTTATTAAAGGCCTCAATTTCTTAGGATGCTTTTCTTCCCTAACTAGAAATTACATATCTGCCTTAAATTTGAACCCTGCAGTAAACCAGACAAAATTACTTTAACAATTTAGCCGAATAATCAGTAAAAGTACATAGTTTGTTCTCTTTTCTCATCACCCCATGTTCAAAATTTCAAAGGATACAAAGGCTCCAAGTATAAAGAGAGCATTAAAGATATGATTCTGGAACGTGAACAGTGCCAGGCCCATGTAACAGAAGATGACGTTCTCAGCCAAAAAGTTCATAAATTCAAACAACTGAAAACAAAACAGAAACCAAAACCCATTAATTATGATGCAGGTTTGAATTCATTTAATAACTTGTAACTGTATCTGGTGACTGGATGGTACTCCTTTATCTATGAAGGCCATCCCTTTGGCCTTATGCTTAATTTCTGCAGGGTGGGCTGGCAGAGGAAGGTTTGGGCTAGTGGCGCAGGAACCCCTGCCTATCCTGTCATGCCAGCTGACTCTACCATGGCCCTCTACACAGTGACAGATGCCTCAGCCATGTTAATATCCTATCCTCCTTTCCAAATGCAAGGCTGCTAGAGATACCCATGGGTAGTATTAACCAACACAATCCTTCATGGAACAACTCCTACTGAGCTGACAGAATATTCCCCATTATAGAAACTGAAACTATGTGATTTGATTAAGGTGTACTGTAGTAAACAAAGCAGAGATTGTTTAGAGTTTTCTGCACATCACCCACTAGGTGCACTTGAGTTCCCAGACTCTGAAGAACCACGTTCAAAAAAGCTTCAGCTAAATTACCTTCCTCAGGCAGGTAGGAAGGACAAACTTGGAAAACTTGGAAACTTGGAATAAAGATGAATGTTGATTATATTTCAACATTAGAATGATTAGTATGTTTCAAACCCCAGACAATGAGACTCATTACATTGATTGATGTAGGCATATCCATTAAATGTCCATAATTCCTAGCTGGTAAAAAGATGATTAATCCCAGGGATGAGTTTATACAGCAAGAACACAATAGATACATCTAACTCAGTCAGAGGAATGGACTAGTAACATCTATGCTGACGAATGCCCATGAGAGTTATTATTAGACCATTAACTAAACAATTTAAGTTGAACATGAAATCATTTTCCAACATTAGAAGTTAAAGGGAAATATGTCTGGAGGCTACAACAGAGGCAGATTTAGTTTATAAATCTAAACTAAAGAGACTTTAGTTTATATTCCAGACTTTTTATTTGGAACCTTCTAAAACTTTATTCTCAGTCCTATGTAAATCAGAACATTAGGGTAAACGTCTCTGGAGGCATTTCTCTTGGTTTTTTAATAACTCATTTTTTTCGTGTACTGTATTTACAGTCCTACAAATAATGACCAATCCCTTTTTACTGACAGTTAACAGAAAGGAAAGCAGAATCTTGTCAGAAACATTATTTAAAACCAGTAGTAGAAAGAAAGGATTAAAAAAGACACAGCTCCTTTGGCACAAGATGCTCTTTCTGCAGTGGCAGTGATCGTCAGTTATCTTGAGCACTTATTTTACAATCTAGGCCAGCTCGTCTTAATAAATACTGTTGCCCAAATAACCACAGACAACTTGAAAACATGGGAGAAAATATAGGGGATGGGGAACAGTTTTCTATCTCAAATCTTTACTTTTTCAAAAAGTAAAGTTTAGCTATCTTAATCTGTTCAGGCTACAGTAACAAAATACTACAGACTTGAGTAACTTAAAAAACAGAAACTAATTTCTCATAGTTCTAGAGGTTGGAAAAGCCAAGACTAGGATGCTGGATGATTTGGTTCTCGTGAGCAAATAGCAGCCTATCCTGGTCTGTAAACAGCAGCTTACTTGCTATATTCTCACATGGTGGAGAGAGAAGTCATCTCTCTCATGTCTCTTATAAGGGCACTAATCCTATTCATGAGGGTTCTACTCTTGTGACCTAATCACCCTACAAAAATCCCACCTGTAAATATCATCACATTGAGGGTTAGGGCTTCAACATTTGAATGTGGGGGAAGATGGGCACAAATATTCAGTTCATGGCAACTACTCAGTTTTTCACATTAATAAACACACACCAAGGTTAAATTCATAGGACCTCTTCTCCTGCCTCTATCCTCTAGGGAGGACATTTTTTCATCTAGGATCTATCCAGTCTCTTTTTGGTGGCCACACTCCAATTTCTTTTTGGGGTCCATCTCCTTCCCCACTCTCAGCTACAGACTGATGCCTAGTTAGTTCAAATATGGAATATGTAATTTAGGACTAAACTACTCAACCACTCAAATCAATGTGTTTCTCCAGCTAGCATGTTTGGTTCAGAATAGATGTGATGCATTTAGAGCCAAAAAAAAAAAAAAATACAATGAGGCCTTTGCAGGGAATGTTGGGACAAAGACCTCCCACTTTTTTACTGTATGAGAATTTAGTAGCACTCGGGCTCAGGAGCTGTACTAGCCATTTTGTGATCGCAGGTTAAATAGCCATCAGAGAGAAGCCCTGTCCTGATGACACTATTTAATTTTTCGTATTCAACCTTTCCCAAAGTAAAATCTATCCTTAAACTTTTGAATTAAAGAGACCAAGAAATCACTTTTTGATTTGAGTTGGGGTTTCAACCACTTAAAAAGATACAAACTCCTTTATGGTCCTGCACCAGTTGAACAAAACAAAACACCCCTCTGACTCAATATAGATAGATGATAAACAAAAGGGTGTATGGTCAACTTTTTGACCTTTTTTGATCAGTAACAAATCTGTTATCCCTGTACTCCACCACTACCCAATTTTAATCTATTTCTTACCTTAAAGGTAGAAAAATAATATATGGGGAAAAGTCCATTTTTTTTCTGTTGGTTGTTGAGATATGATGGGAATTTTTCCCATACATTTTACACGAGGACCCATGGTATTAAATATTTATTTTAGAGATTTACTTTCTTTGGATAACTCAGTATTTTAATTCGATAGTCAGTCAGTTTATTGAAATCTAACACCAACCAAAATTACAAGTAACTTTTTACATATACTTTGTATAAAAGTTTGATTTTCCATTTAGGTCCATTTCTGGACTGGCTCTTTGCTCCTATTATTGTCTATTCCTGTATCAATGCCACATTTTAAAAATTAATGTAGATCCATAATACATTATAATATTTCATAGATATAGATTATTCCCATGCTTTATCTTCTTTAGAATTTTTCTGGTTATTTTTGTATGTTTAAAAAATGTTTTTATTGATGCTTAATCACTCAGAAAAGTATATAAGTTATATATGTACAACTTAAGGTTTATAAGAGACTATTACTAGCACTCCAGCATTACTCATGTTTCCCCTCCACTTATAACTCCACACTCAATGCAACTATATACTATTTGCCCTTCTATCATCACAAATAAGTTTTCCTTGTTTTTCAATTTTAATATGAAATGAATGAAATCAGACAATATGTATTATTTCATACTTGTCTTTTACTCTTTTACCAACATTTTGTTGGTGAGATTCTTCATGTTGTATGTAGAAGTAGTTTATCTTTTTCATTATATGAATATATTACAATTTATTTATTCATCCTATTATTGATAGACATTTGGGTTGTTTCCAGTTTGAGGCTATGATGAATTTTGCTGCTGTACATATATATTTGCATTTCTGTAAAATTGTTGAGACATAGTGCCAAGCAGTTTTCCAATGTGGTGATACCAATTTGCACTCCCATCAGCAGTTCTAGTTGATTTACATTCTTGCCAACACTTGGTTTTACTGCTGTTTTTTGAATCTACACTTTTGCCTCTTTCTATTTGCCATTTGAACTTAGGAATCAGGTTGTCCCTTTCCATAAAAATTAACTATTGGCATTTTAGTTGGAGTTCCACTAAATGTGGATAGAATGTACATCTTTATAGTATTCAAACTTTAAATCCATAAACCTCATATGTTCTTATAACAATTTTGGTTTTCTTGAATTTCCCTCAGTAATTTCTTTATAAAGATTTTTTTTGTATCTTTGGTTAGGTTTATTCCCAGATATTCGATGTTTTTTGTTGCTATTATAAATGGAACCCTTTTCAAAGTTTGTCTTCTAATTGTTTGTTGTTATATACACATATATAATTGATTTTTTTAAATTGATCTGGTATTCAGAGCCTTCCTAAATTTATTTAATAATTCTTACAGTTTATTGGTATATTCTTTTGGACTTTCACAATTATATTGTTTTTAAATAAGGATAATTTTGTTTTTTCCTTTCCAGTCACTATAAATTTTGTATCTGACACTTGTTAGGACCTCTGGCACATTGCAGAATAGAAGTGATGATGGGGTATCTTTGTCTTATTCCCAGTCTTAAAAGGAAAACTTTCAATATTTCTCTACTAAATTCATAGAAATGCTTTAACATATTAAAGATGTTCCCTTCTATTTCTTTTTTAAAATATAGATTTAATTTTTTAACACCATGTTGAGAATTTATGCGTTCATATGACAAAAGACTGGCTTATAATTTTCCTTTCTTGTATAGTCTTTACCAGGTTGTATTGTTAAAGTTACCGATGTTAGGTTCTTATTCTCTTTCTTAAGTGCTTAAAAGAATTCTGGGCTTGGAGTTTTCTTTGTAGAAAGATTTGAAACTACAATTATTACAATTATTATTGTAGATACAATTATTCTAATAGATATAGCATTAGCTAATTTTCTCTTCACTACTGTATCAGTCTTAGTAAGTTGTGTTTGTCATTCCGTCTAAACTTTCATATTTACTGGTATATAGTCATTCATAAGATCTTCATTATCTTCGTGTCTGTAGTTAAGTACCCCCCTCCCATGTTGTTAACTTGTATCTTTTCTTATTGATAGATCTTGTTAGGGAGTTATCAATTTTATGAGTGTTTCCAAGAAGCAACTTTGGCTTTGTTGCTTTTTTTATGTTGTATTATTTTTCTTTCTATTTCATTAATTTCTCTATTATTTTTATTATTTTCTGCCTTCAACATACTTTGGTTTTAATTTGTTTTTATTTAGTGTCTTGGTCCAAGTCCTGATGCAGGAGTTACTCGTCAATTCCTTTGAACACTTGCTTTTCTATATTTTTTTCTGGCTTTTCTAGTTTTTTTCCTAAAAGAGAGTTGTTCTGACATCAGCTATCCCTCATAGCTAACTCTTCTTGACTGTTTATTTTTCAGGGTGAATAATTATTTTTGTCAATTTCCCACCCACAGTTTTATGGTAATTTATTTTGTAACACAGACTATGCATATCAATTTAG